CCCCTTATTGTTTTATTGGGGCCCCACCCACCGCGCAGGGGTGGGGGCCAGGGGGGGAGGACAGTAGGTCCCCCCCTTATGGTTTTATTAGGGCCCCCACCCACCGCGCAGGGGTGGGGGCCAGGGGGGGAGGACAGTAGGTCCCCCCCTTATGGTTTTATTAGGGGCCCCACCCACCGCGCAGGGGTGGGGGCCAGAGTAGGTCCCTTATTGTTTTACTGGGGCCCCCACCCACCGCGCGGGGGTGGGGGCGGGGGCGGGGGGGGAGGACAGTAGGTCCCCCCCCTTATTGTTTTATTAGGGCCCCCACCCACCGCTCAGGGGTGGGGGCCAGGGGGGGAGGACAGTAGGTCCTCCCCCCTCATTATCTTCATGGCCCCCACCCGCCGCTCAGGGTGGGGGAGGGGGGGAGGACAATAGGTCCGCCCCCCTTATTGTAATTGATGTCATTTTTTTCAACAGTGAGCAGCCACAGGCTGCTCACTGTTTAGTAGACATGCCCCTACTCGCGGTATAGCGAGTAGGGGCATTTGGGAGATTTTAATCTCCCTTGTGCTATTATGGGGGTCATATTGACCCCCATAGAGTGAGAGGGACCTGGGGGGCTTATGAAGTGGTGGGGAGCACTGCTCCCTGCCGCTTCTATAGTTACATATTACAAGGAGGGAGCTGCGTGCCGGTAGCTCCCTCCCTGTAATAAACTGCACGAACAAACATACACTGATACATTGTGTTTGTTTGTTCGGCTGATCTTTCTATTCATTCATTCGTCTGTCTGATGAATGAGTGAATAGATGAAATTCCCGTTCGCATGTCCAGGTGTTTCACTGGGCATGTGCGGGAATCTCACAGTCTGTCTAGTGTGGGCAGATGACGTGTCCCACAGGGACTTCATCTACCCACACAAAGATGGCTGCGCCTTGAATCAAGATCGGGGCAGAAAATAAGGAATAAAAAATAGGTAATGTGGGGGGCTTAGGGGCATTTGGGGGTGACTAGTGGGTCAATTGGATGTAGTGGAGGCGGGAGGGGGTTCGGCATGACAGTGCCGCTTTAAGGACGGAGCCAAATGTACACGTTGTGAACAAAACAAAATTTAAACAAAACCTGGCATTTGCGCTACATGTCTGTCCAACCGTAATTCACCTCTTTCATAGTACATGCACCCACCCTTATTATATATCATTTTATTCACGGGAAACAGGGCTTTCATTTAATATCAAATATTTAGCCATGAAACATAATTTTATATGAAAGAAATGGGAGAAAATAAGATTTTTGTAATTTGTTTTAGTTCTACATGACATTTTAACTGTCAGTGTCATAATACTGTTTGCTTTTACTGCAATAAAATACACATATTTGTATTCAGCAAAGTCTCACGTCTAAGACAGTACCCCCTATGTACAGGTTTTATGGCGTTTTGGGAAGTTACAGGGTCAAATATAACACGTTACATTTGAAATTGAAATTTGCCAGATTGGTTACGTTGCCTTTGAGACTATATAGTAGCCCAGGAATGAAATTTACACCCATAATGGCATACCATTTGCAATAGTAGACAACCCAAGGTATTGCAAATAGGGTATGTCCAGTCTTTTTTAGTAGCCATTTGGTCACAAACACTGGCCAAAGTTAACATTAGTATTTGTTTGTGTGTGAAAAATGCAAAAAAGGCCAATTTTGGCCAGTGTTTGTGACTAAGTGGCTACTAAAAAAGACTGGACATACCCCGTTTGCAATACCTTGGGTTGTCTACTATTGCAAATGGTATGCCATCATGGGGGTAATATTCATTCTTGGGCTACCATAGGGTCTCAAAGGCAACGTAACCAATCTGGCGAATTTTAATGTGAAAAAAATGAAACACAAGCCTTATATTTGACGCTGTAACTTTTGAAAACACTATAAAACCTGTACATGAGTGGTACTGTTGTACTCGCTGAACACAAATATCGCAGCAATAATATCGTCCGTGTAAGTGCAGTTTGTGCGTGAAAAATGCAAAAAAACTTCTCTTTTACTGGCGATATCATCGTTGTAATACATTTTACTGTTTTGAAACACTAATATTTGTGTTCAGCGAAGTCTCCCGAGTAGAACAGTACCCCACATGTACAGGTTTTATGGTGTCTTGGAAAGTTATAGGGTTAAATATAGTGCTAGCAAATTAAATTCCCTTTACTTTCGGCATGGGTTGTCAGGCAGGTCCCGCTAATTGTAATTAATTAAAAATATTACATAAATATATATGTAGAATTAATATATTTATATATATACGTATGTTTATATTTATATATATAATTTTGTAAAAATATTTTTATTTATATATAGGTGTATATATAGTGATATATAAAGGCAGACTAGATGGGCCGAATGGTTCTTATCTGCCGTCACATTCTATGTTTCTATGTTTCTATACGTATATATTTATGTATATAGATATATATATTATTTCGTTCTACGTGTATTTCGATATAAATATATATATATTAATATCACAATACAGTTAGAATGAAATAACACACATCTATATATTTTTTAATTATTTATTTTTAATAATTTTTTTAATTTTATTTTTTAACGTATTTACATATTTTTTTTTATATTATATATAAATATATATATATAACAATAATTATATAAATATTTAATCAGTATCAGTCTACGTGTAATTTGATATTAATATATATATATATAATATATATTAATAGTAAAATACACCTAGACAGTGTATGTGTGTGTATGTATATGTGTATATATATACTTAGATCATATATATAATATATATATATATGATCTAAGTATATAATAATTTTTTTTACACTGATTTTATCTTTATTTTATTTGAATTCAGCCAGCAGGGGGACTGTCATTCTCACATGGCTGGGGGGGGCTGCAGGACAGAGGATCCGCCACGGGGGGCTCCCTGGGAGTCCCCCCAACCGCGATCGCCGGCATGGGATCGCCGGAGACCAGGTAAGTAAGAAAAAAACGGAGGGCGTACTATTACGCCCGGCGTCGTTTAGAGCCGCCTAAAATAGTACGCCCTCCGGTCTTAAGGGGTTAATGCAGACAGGCAGCCGTCTTGTTTCCTGTCTGCCACGGACTGAGACCCTGCGTGTGTGTTCACTGTGCATGGTAGTCAGTATGAACACCTCCTTTTTGTCTCTGTTTTTCAGAGCCAGCAGTTCGTCCTGGCAGAGAGCAGCCGTTTCCCCCTTTTTAATTTTTTTCTCTGCCAGAGCCTTCGGGAAGCCAGTGCGTATCTTGCGGATAGTGCCGCAGACCACAGTCTCAAAACAATATAGCATTTTTTGGAGGGGTATGCTATTGTAATAATTATCAAGGTAGAGGTGGTACCCCTTGTTCAGTAGCGGGTTCATTAGATCCCAAACTATTTTTCCGCTAGTCCCAACTACATCAGGGCAACCTGGGGGATCCCGGTGGCTATCTTTACCTTCATATACTCTGAAGGTATAAACATGCCCACTGCTACTTTCACATAACTTGTATAGCTTGATGCCATACCGGGATCTTTTGGATGGGATGTATTGCTTGAACCCCAGTCTACCCTTGTATTTCATTAGGGACTCGTCAATACATATATTCTTTTGGGGAGTATAAATTATGCCAAATTCTTTATTAAAATGGTTAATTAGGGGGCGGATTTTATAAAGTTTGTCATACTGCGGATGATCTTTGGGTTGGCACTTCGAATTATCATTGAAGTGCAGAAAACGCAGTACTGATTCGT